GAGAGAGAGAGAGAGAGAGAGAGAGAACTATTATAATATAAAAACACATTAAGTCATGGAATATGTGCTAAAAAAAAACTAATTTAATTTAATTTTAAAACTCCTTCCCCCCCACCCTATTATGTTCTTTCTTATGGAAGAAGAGGACCATGGATTTCCACTCTGTTCAACTCAACTCAAAATGCTAAACAAGGTTCATCATCAAGTCCAGACTGGCAGAATCTCAGAGCAGCCCTCCTCTCCCTTCATGCTGTTCCTTGCATTCTTTCAGGAAGGGACAACGCCTTTCGATCCACAGTTAGAGATATCTTCGACCAAGAGCCTGACTCACTGAAGACTCTCAAAAAAATGTGTTTCAACTGAATCAAGAATTTCAGACTGCAATCTTCAACTTTAGTTAATAGTTTTTGTGGAGGTCTTTGGGTTAAAATATTAAAAATCAGCAAATATAACCACTCCCGCTGATACAAAACCCATTTACCTTGGGTTAGGGGAGGAAGTACAACAGGCAAGAGGGCATGAAGTTCTTGGAACATAAAGTGAGGTCATCCTCTAAGCAAAAAAAGAGGGGAGCGAAATGCACCAGAAAGAATAAGACAGCTTGTGTTGAGGGAGTGAAATTTAGATTCTACAATGTTACTAAGGCTTAGCTCCATCCGTCAACGTGGCAGGAACCAATAAAGCATGTGCACAGAGGTGCTTTTTAATCTCACAGCTGCATACTCAGGCAGTAGTGCTTCCAATGATTCATGAAGATTTTATTTTAGGCCTCAACACATCTGATTTCATATAAATGAGCTATGTTCCTAGAAGTCTGAAAATGAAAATGGCTTCGATATCTGAAGATTGGTAGTGAGCAATCTTGAAAATTATTAAGTCTTGCTTGTAGCTATAGGAACCCTGAGAAAGAGAGAGACACCAATGCAATTGGATTCTGTTTAAATGAAAAAGCCGACACCTACACTCCAATCCAGAGTCGCTCTGGGCTCCTTCGCTGGACCATTTGCAACGGGAAGGCTGAGGGGATGCGCTGGAGTGAGGTGCTGCAGGCCTGCCCGCGAGATTGCTTTCCTGCAGCAAGAAGAAAAAACACAAAGAAAAACCAACATCAGAAGGGAATACTGAGCTGAAAATTTCCCAGTGGGTAGAAACCATGCCTGAGTTAGTCCTCCGCATATGCGAAACTTCATGAACGTACTGGAATATATCTCTCTAAAGTGCACGGTAAAGGTACAGGGCAGCAGGTCTCAAAGACAAGGAGATTAAGGGGGTGACTTTGGAACAACATTGCTCCAGGGCCAGAAATTAAAATGCAAGCCCCTGTTTAGGGTACAGGGCACAAGGCAGGTCTCTTTGTTTACAGAAAGAACCCTAGGGCTGGGGGAGGAGGAGGACGTCAGAATATGAACAATTTTAAAGCCGCCTGAGAGTAAAAACAAGAAAAGCAAACTCATGAGGCCTTCTATTGAAATTTCTGTATTTCCCACCAAAGTGCTCTCCAAGCTGGTCCCAGCTCCCAGTTTACTCTTGTTCCTCTCAAGAACATCCTCCCTTACCCTTGCAGAGGCCTTCAACAGATATTCTTGAGGTTCTAAACGGGAAAAGACAGATTTGCATTTGTCAAGAAATAGCAAACGCCGAAAGACCAATATCTTACCAAGGTCCATGGCAAGAAAAATCCAGAACACATTGGCTGGATTTTAAGTTTGATGAGTGGAACATAACAGAATTCAGGTGAGAAAGGAGGAAATGAATCAGAAGAAGTGGAGAAAGTCGGCCCTGACCTTGGTCTGCAAAGATAAGAGGAGGAAATGCTTTAGTAAACAAATATGGCTATTTTTTGAACAAAAGGAAGGGAGGGGAGATATGAACAAAGTGGAGAGAAAAAGAACAGCAAGACAAAGGAAGACAGCAGGGACCACCCAGGGAGATCTTGTGATATCATCATGAATAACAGAAGCTCAATTTATGAACAGCGCCACCAAAAATGTCAGACAAGGGTCTTGAGCTTAAACATGAGTGCCGACTGGTGAATTAACTAAGTGGCTCCCTAGAAGGGACAGAAGCGTTCCCTCTACAGAAGAGTCCACGCGTGCTCAGAGAATGGCCTGAACTATAATCAGGTGGGTCTGGTGACGCTGCAGTTCTGAGTCCTGATTGTTCTGAGGGTGAGGCCCAGGAATCTGCATTTATACATGTTCCCCAGGGGGTTCCTTCTGTAAGCTAAAGCTGTCAAACTTTTCTGTGGGCGTGTGAAAGGACTTCAATCTAAAATGGAACCATAGGATAGGCAATGGAGGCTCTCACGCATGCGCCCTCAGAAGAGCAAACTTGAACTCAGAGATCGATTTCCAGTAAATGCCTGATTTACAGAAGACTGAAGCTCATCCCTGGACCAATGAACATTTGCCAAGAATCGCTCCCCAGCCTCCAGCCAATGAACTTGCTGTTTGGACTCTGGCTAGAGTCCCCTTTCTTTGCGCTCCTTACCCATAAAAACAGCTCACCACAAACCATCAACAAACTCGCTTGCTACAGCTTGCGTATCCCCAACTGTAATTCCTCCACTATTCCTAAGTAAACTCAATTTCTGGTCATTCAGGCTTGCCTCCATTTACCTCTTAGGTTGACAGGACAGGAGGGAAAGCACTTACTTACCCAGGCCCACCACAAGGGGGAGCCCTGCAGGAAAGCATCAGCAACTTCCTTATGCACTTTACCCACCCCCACCCCCACCCCCAACTAGCTCCCTGGAGCCTGTCTCATGGGACGTAAACATCGCAGTAAGAATCTTTCATCTCTGACACTGGACCCACAGACACACCAGGTCTCCAGGGAGGCCCAGATCCTCAGACTCCTTCACCGATCTCATTATAGAGAGAAACAAGGCTACAGACAGAGAGGTGGTTAAAAGGAAGGCAGTGATGGCCAGATACATGGTAAATCCCATCAACTTAGCCAAAGAAGGAAAAGGAACTTGGCTGAGTAAGAGCGGAATCTAAAAGCTTTGTTGGACTCTAGAATGGGGATGATCTCTCTTTACTGTTCACTGAGCTCCGTGAAGTGCCCCCAGACATGAAATTTATAAAGTTGAGATGAACAGCAGCCCCCCAACCAAAAGAAAGGCTGGGTAGAATCCAGGAAAGCATCTAGGATTGGGCAGCCACTAATCAATGACCAAGGATGTCTGAGAGCTCAGCAAGTGTCCAGCTCCCCCGAAACCCCAGCCCCCTGCTTTCTAACACTCTTATATTCCTACACAGAAAGTCCCAGGAATGGTGGCTAGGTCTTCCGTAGTCGGAAGTGATCATATCAGGCTTGCCAATAGCTTCCTTTCAGAAGCTCTCCCTGGGCAGCAGGCGATGTGCTTGTTTTCTATAAGCCCCAAAGCGTCATCCCAAGTAGGCGGGACTTGAATGAAGACAGTCAGCGTACACAGTATCCTCTTTCCTCACTTTCACCAGGGCAGATAATTAACAACATCAATTTTGGCCCCTCACCCCGAAGTGGATTCCATTTTCTTGAGTAATAACACAAGAACATGGAGGATTCTTCACATGGTGATTCCCCCAACCTCCAAGGGTTTCCCTCCACCTGAGTTCAAGGATCTTCAGCATTTTCCATTAGGACTTTTCTCTGGCTTGGAAGGCACCCTGTATGGTGATTCTGAGTCACAGTTTTCATCACCAGAAAATCAGATCTCTGTGGAGTCAGAATCTACAGCTTCTTTAACAGTCACCATGACCTACTGTCACAGTAGAAACCACAGGGCAAATGAGTTTAACTCATGAGACTTGGTAGACTCTGACCACCCAGGAGGGACCTGTTGCTCAAATAATCAAGTTAGCATGCTAGGGATGCTTGCATCTCTAGGGGAGCAATGTGGCTACAGGATAAGAGAGGCAGAAACATTCAACCCTGACTAAGCCCTGCAATGAAAGGACAGTCCAATTACACTCTTTCCCACTCTGTGAATAGAAACGATTAAGTAAGGGCTTTTGTTGACTATTTGCTCCTCACTGTGGATGCAAATTTAAGGTTGGTTTTTCTGTAACATTAATAGAAGTAAATTGTATATCTGCTACACATATAAACATTAATTAGGAGGAAAATAAGTAAGAAACATCAAAGTGCCTGCCAATTTGTAACTGTAAATGGGCCTCGCAAAAGGACATTACATAAGAAAGAGAATAGGAAAAATATATATAGGTCCTACAGGGGGTGGGAGGTAACTTCTGATTATAGCTTTCCATTCTTCTAAATAACCATGGGAGAAAATGCTTTTTCTTGCAATAGTTCACATACGTATACACATTTTCTTCCACAATAAGAAGGCGATTTCATTATTTCTCAGACCTTAAATAAAATTAGTATGTTGTTTTTCTATTTGAATTTTGTCTTGGTTGAGGGTCCAGTAGAATTTAGTGTGTGTTGGGGTAGGGTTTCATGTTGCAATTTGTTCCAATAAAAAAATCAATAGGGTTTCAACTTCTCATTCGTTCTGAATCCTCTCAAATCCACAGTCAGTAAAACAGTGAAATGCCAATGATTCTTTCTATTAATTTTACAACACTTTGTCAGGGATAACTATAATGGCAAAAGAATCTTTGAAATGGAAAATCAAATTATTAACTGTGAAACAGATATGAAAAGAAAATATTCTATAATACAATTTCAAGTGCACAAAATCATAATTGATGTCAATTACCTGCCATGGAAAACCTCTAACTTACTTGAAGTGTAAAAGCCATTGTACATTTTAAATAGCATTCTATTATTTCCTTTACTTCATTCAATAAGACTATAAACTCCTAAAGGACAGGGCTCAATTCATCTACTAATCTTATTACCTTCTAGCCTGGGGTAGAGTCAGCATATATTCAGTAAATGCTTTCTGAGTTAATGAATGAATTTGACCAAGAAGCTAAGCACAACAGCTTGCTGATTAGATCAAAGACTGAGAAATCTGATCAGGATAATCTGAATTATATCCCTGGCCTTGCATTTCTCTGAGATTCTTTCCTGAGAGGACCAGCCATCCTTCAAAGCAACTCTTTAAAGATAAAGGCAAACAAAGGTAGAATTTAGTGTTACGAAGCCTAAGACATCAAAACAGCTTTGTGATCAACATTAAAGTGTACCGAGCTTGCAATAGATCATGTTAACATTTTTACAATGTATTTATTGAAAGAAACACGGAGTGCATACTCTTCATAAGGAGAATATTTTAAAATTGATGGGAAAACATGTAAATAAGTGGTTATTTAGCCAAGATACCCTCTAATTATCTATTTTGCAAATTTCAGTTCACTCTGGTTCTTCTCTTCTTCCAGGTTTCTATGGCAGCCATATTCAATCCATCCCCACCTGGCCAACTCCCGCTCCCTGCTCAGAGTGCTTCTACCTGTGAGAACAGAATGAGGGGCCCACCTGCTGAGAGGAGAAGCACCAGAAAATCAGGAGGTTCCCTTAGCCAGTACATCTCCTAGAATAAGCAACTGACACATTAGAGATTGGTGTACTCATCTTGTTCTAGAAAAGAAACAAGCTGTCTAAGAAGTTGCTCTGCATCTTGGTTTAGTTGCCCAAGTGTCTCAAGAGAGGTCTTAATCAGTGTGTGTGTGTGTGTGTGTGTGTGTGTGTGTGTGTGTGTTTCCTGCCACCCTCCCTCATACTATATTGCCACTAACTTTGCTTATATTCAAAGCAGCCCACAATGCTTCCTGGTTGATTGAAATAAGCTTCCTGCAATGTTAGGGATAGTCCATGCAATTAAAACAAGCCCCATGCAGATTCTAAATATCCCACCAGAGATTCATGTATGGGAATAAGCCTGTTATAATTATTTGAGCCGAAATCATAACCCATATTACATATGAACGCAAAGTATTTTTTTATTATTTTAATGTACACATATTGACATTTCCAAGAATGTAATTGCTATCTATCTTATACCAAGCATTTGTAAGACACATGGATGAATAAAAGAGATACAGAAAATTAAAAATAGAACTACCTTATGACCCAACAATTCCACTCCTGGGTATTTATCCAAAGAAATCCAAAAC